TCATCCAGCTCGAAGAGTGACACCAGTTGAGGCGGGCCATTGTATTTTCCCTGCCACTCGACCTGTGAATCCGACGCCAAGTCGTCTTGCGCAGTGGAAGCGAATCGAAGAAGGAGTATGAAACTTCATCCATATACTTAGCTTCATCTTGACGTTTTATCAGCTCAACTTTGTTAGAACTTGTTTCCCTGACGCTGATTTCCCGACGGAGCTCGTCAAGGCGGAATTCCAGGCTGATGAGCGACAACATCGAGAGTTGCAAGTCTACGATCCTTTGAGAGGTAATCTCCTTAGCATCGTGCCGTCTTCCAGCATCCCTCAGACATCACTGGTTCTCTTTCCGGTGGGAGAAACCAACAATGAATTGAGTAAGCCTTCGCGCCCAATCTCGTTCTAGCTAGTTAATCTCAGCTTGAATATCAGATATTTCTTTCATAACATCTACTAATTCTGACTCCTCGACTTTTCACGCGTCTGGTCGTGCTGCATACAAGTTCGAGACACCCATTCTCCAGATCTCAACCCCGAATGCATCAAATTCACCTCTGAAGCGTGGTATAAATCCAAGTCTTGGTCAGAACGCTCTCTGCAACATCTCTGTTGAGCATTGAAACGTCGGACGAAAGAACCGACGTCAAGGCTACGAGGGAGGTGGACATACTGTCTGATGATGCAGGAGGCAAAAGCGCAGTAGATGTCACATTTTCGCCTCATCACTCGGATATCATTGTCGTCAACACCTCTGGAGCAGTTTACAACTGCAGTATATATCAAGGAGCAAAAGCCATGTATGTAACTTTCCTGGCTCAATTGCACTGAACTCATTCCTTCATCAGGCGGCGCATAGGACCTAACCAAGTTCGTTTTGAGAACACAAACGAGGACAAATTTTGGAGGCTCCGTACATCTGATCAAGGCTACTTCCTGGCATCAAGTAGCTGCATTCAACATCTCGATTTCAGGGTACGAATTCGGGCAGGACGTTTTGATTCCTCGGCTAACGCAGAGAGATAGACAAGCCAGCCTGCTATTGACCTATTTTCCTACTGATCAGTTGGGCCCCGTTGTGACATCTTTTGACCGGTTAGAGCAAGAACATCTCCTCACCATTTCGACGACTTCGGAGCTCATATGGCTGGATGATCGGTACCCGAAGAAGACGCTTCTGAGCTTTAAGCACAACCGAGCGCATGATAGATCGCTCAACGTCAGAGCTGTACAGCTAGATAGTGGTACGGAATGGACGAAATACCAGTCCTCTCTATTCACTCATTTTCTATTACAGGCCCCCTGACTTTCTTAAGTTCGCTCAAAAACGAACTCGTCACCATTTATGACGTGTCTCGAGGGGATGATAATCTAATCCACTGCCATTCCGTACCAACGTCTTTACCTCAAGACGGAGATATCGGTGCGCCTGACTCGGAAAGTACCTTCGTTGTCCGACCCGATATGTCCACCTTTTCTCTCTTGCGGCTCTCTGGACAAGGCAGCCTCCACTGCCAGGACTTTACTGTATGTCGCAATGACGTGGATATACTTCGAAGACAGACTGTTGGCACTGGTCACGAATGGTCCGCCGATGTGCAGAAACTAGCTCAAAGAGCAAAGGAGCTTCAGCCTCTGTACGGGCCGCTAAGCGCAAGGCATTTCTCTGAGTTAAACCTACGGACTGCGTATCAGAGTGAGCATTTGTGATTCAGTTCGGTTGAGTTCATTGAGATATTGATTTTGGTTTCAGAAATTTTCTTCATGGGGGATGCGACCGAACAAGCTGCCTCTGAGGGCAAACTTATCGCAATGGTAGACAGGCTATCTCAATTCTGGCAAAGAGCAGAGGATACTGACAATGCAATGTTGACCTTTGTGAGGCGTGCTCCCAAATTTATCGTCCTTATAAGCTGATCCGTTATACTTAACAGGCATGATGTCTGCCTTCGTGCTGACGGAGAGCCAAACGAGGGCTCGCGAGCGGACTTTTTAGTTGGCGGACTCATCAACTCGAATCGTGGGTACAAAGCACTCGTGCGCAACGAGCTACCAGTTCAGGAAATTACGAGTGGTGCGGCATGGCGTTGCGATTTCAAGCCATTTCTTCGCCGTATGGGGCTTGGTCGCGTGGATCACTGGCAGGAGATGCATGATGCTCTGGAAGTTTTCAACTTGTCTTACTCGAACGACGCCCCTGAGCTATTCGTGCAACAAGAGGAAGGGTCACGAGAACAGCTTATCCTCGATTTGAGCCTTTCCAGCATGGTGTTCTCACCTCAGCCAGTTTCTATGCCCGCTGCTCCAATCCAAGTGGACGATGTGGAGACTATGTCCCTTGCTGCAAAAGCTCTGACACTTAATGACGAACTTCCCGATATTCAGTTTGGCTACCTGCGTCCATATCGCACGCTTGGCATCAACCACTACCCCCATGTTTTCAAGGACAAGGACGCTGTCGCAGAACCTGACCAGGATGCGGACTTTTCCACTCCGCTTGGGGTGCGACTTTTATTGAGGGAGTGGGAGGTTGGAACGGACGTCGAGTCCTATGCATATCGTGATCCGTACAACACAGAAGGCGACAATCCTGTTGCACCCTCCCGAGAACGGGCACTTCCCACCGCACCAGTTGCTACGCAAACGAGGACTACAACATCACAGCGCCCTCCGCTAATCGTTGCAGGCTTCGATCCCCGACCACCTCCTATTCATCCTGCCCAGAGTCACTGGGGAAGGTCGGGCACTCAGCCTCAAGGCTTCACTTTACGAACTACAGATATTCAGAACGGGAATTATCCTGAACCTTCACAACCCTCCCAAGAGTTGATGACGAGCACTCAAGTGTTGCCTGGACCGTATGGTGGTCGGAATGCTCCGATGACCAAGAAGCTTGTGAAGAAGAGGCTGGGTGGGTTCTGATAAATATGTGCAGTAGTACATACCCTCGAGAATGGTGTAACAAACAGCTCGCGGCAGTTTTATTAGTTGCTCGGATCATAGTACCTGTTGTAAGCATGTCACAACCCAATCAGCGAAATCAGGTACACCAAAACCTATCGACCAAATATAGGCAATTTTCATGACGCGTGACATCCCCCCGAAACTCTACTACAAGCCTATACCAAATCGCAGTGGAAGATCCCTATCTCCTCTCCAGCTCTTCTTTCTGGCTCCAACTGAGATCACGCCCGGCCTTTCTCGACACAGACTGGCAGAGGCACGAAACTGGGCTTTTTGTCTGGTCCAGCGAGAAGAGCTATGGATGGAACAAGGTACGCTATGATTGGACTTCTCGCAAGGCAACAGCTCTTGAGAAGTTTTCAGCACGCCAATCAATCCCTGGTTCAACAGGGATGCTTTCAACGACGTTTTGAAGCGTATGTATAATGCAAAACACAGGTCCATTTTGTAATCACTTCTCTGCTAGGGAATAAGCCGGTGGTCTGCGCTCTCTCCGCCAGCTACATTTCAACCTTTGTTGGATATCCAGTATGTCTGCCCTTTCTATGTTTAAGGGACTGGTGAACCTGGTGGTTTTACAGTTAGATTCCTTGAAGTCGAGACTACAGACCACCAAAACAAGGATGCCGGTGCTCAAGCTTGCTGGTATCGTGTATGGGGAAGAGGGAGTAGCAGGCTTCTATAGAGGTCTTTGGATACCGCTTGTTACCATTTCATTTGTCCGTGAGTCATCGCGCTGCTCGTTCTGTGCAACCCTAACCACTATCCAGGTGCTGCTTCGTTCACGATATACAGTAGTACAAAAGAATACTGTCGTAAAAACAACTATTTTACAGGTGATAGAGCTTCCGATGCTGCTCTCGCGGGCGGTCTCAGTGGTGCCTTGTCTGGGTCATTGATCTCATGTACCAGTGCACGTGCGTGCTCTTTCACTTCGTTTTTTTTTAAACCATCTGACATGTGAAACCAGCCTTCGAGCTTGTCAAGGTATTTTTACTTGTCTAATTTGTCTGGGAAGGTAATATTCCAAGTCTGTTGACAGGTTCGAAGGCAATTGGAATATAGCATAGCTGCAAGCAAAGGCATACAAATGGTTAAACCCCCAAATACCGTCGAAGCTGTCCGGGAGATCTTCCGAACTCACGGGCTGTCCGGGCTCTGGATAGGGTTCCGTCTCCACTTTTGTGAGTAATATACTTCGCTTTTTGTTACATTGACCAAGTTCCCGCTCCATAGTGCGAGATACAACTGGCACTGCTTTGTACTTTTTCGAATATGATGCCATGCGACATTTATTGGGTCGCCAGCGCTCGGGAGAGCAAGGACCAACGCCGGGCATGGCTGCCGATACCCACATCCTTGATTCCCTTCGTCTGTGGTTCGCTGGCCGGTGTGTCTTCATGGGCATTGATCTATCCCCTTGACGTGTAAGCATCCATCATTTTTGTGTTACAACGCTCATTCTTCCACTTGTTATTAGAGTAAAGACCAAAGTCCAGCAACGTGCTTTAGCTGGCACTCCTCCGAAAGGAGTATGGGAAACCCTCCGTCGCCTCGTGCGCGGTACGGCAGACCACTGCAGTGTTGTAACGACGGCTCAAACTTCACTAGGTCCGGATCCCAAAGATCCAAAGCCAGTGCTTGCTGGCATAGCACGCATATATCGCTGGTCTCGGCGTCAGTGCACTGCGGAGCATCACGACGCATGGGCTCCTCTGGACGTTTTTCGATATCACGTCGCATTATATCGACCACCTACCCTGATTTGCAACGCGCTATTAACAGGATCCCACCTCGCATCTGACTAGAGACAAGGCATGTGCTATGGCATCTGGTTTAGGGTTGCGTAGTCTATTCACTATAATTGATATCATCCGAGATACTTACCAGTCAATATATGCATAAATGTTGTCATCACATTACAGGCTCTTCGTGCGATATACACCTCAAGGTCATATTAATGAGATAATTGACTCCTGTCACCGCCCTCGTGCTCCTGTGCTGGAAATGAGAAATGTTGCAAAGGCGCCTAAGTTTCATGGGAGGTTGCCGGGATAGCTCAGCTGGGAGAGCAACAGACTGAAGTAATCCAATGTGATGTATAGGTTCTTCTGGAGGTCCCGTGTTCAATCCACGGTCCTGGCATTGTAATTTTGTCTCATTTTCTTGGATGGCTTCATAACGATGCTGATTCAACCAAAGGTTATGATTGTGTCTTAGAAATGCAATGTGTACACAATATGAACGTAACAATATCAAGCAATGGTGTACTTTCCATAGTCTTTCTCTGGATCATATATCTACGCATTGATTAGCAGAAATATCGACATAAGAGGAACGACCTCACTTACCTCCCATCGAGAGGCCGGAAAGATGTGCTTAAATCGTTGGTACCAGCTTCTCTCCACCACTTTGCCAGCATGTGACTCATCTTTCTCCTTGGTCGCATCAGCAAGTAGGCGAATATCATCATGGACGTCGAAATTAAATAATGGCCCACTCTTTCCACGAGCTTTGTTAATGATGAAGTCATAGAAGGTGTGATGCTGTCGAAATACATTAAAATAACTAACATGGAAACTCCATGAATAACTCACGTGAGGTACAATGAGGTCCTCCTTGATGTACATCAAGTTGTCAACGCTAACGCCTCGCAATTCTGGAAACTGCTGTCGGCACTTCTCCAAGAAGGAGCTAATGGTATCGCCTTTCTTACACTGAAGTATCTTGTGAGTGAGGGGTTGAACGCTAGATGCATATGAAAACATACCACAACCGACTTCCTGTGTCCGCTCCCATCCCAATAAGAATAGGTGATCTCGATTTCTTCCTGTTTAAGCTCCTCTTGTCGGCGAATCCATTCTTGGCGCAACCTTTCACGCTCTTTCCTCTCCGCTTCCTCTCGGTCGCGGTCGGGGAGGAATGACGTATCAACATTGGGATTCTTGCGGAACTTGGCGCGCTTAGACACTTGTTCACCGTTCTCGACCTCGGGCGTTTGACGTGATGAGGTGTCTCCTTCGAGGTCCCCTTCATCATCCATGGCAAATGATAGTGTAGCTTTCGGCTTCTTGCGTTTCTTTACCCTCTTTGTTTCTTCCCTAAACAAATCCTCCACGGAATATAAGCCATCTTTCCACACAGCAGTCGCGACGCAAGAGAGAATGACATTGGACACTGAAAATGACATACTTGAGTTCGTTGGTGCGAGCAGCCTCGCGTGCCTTTGCCTCCTCCAGCTCTTTCCTTCTTTGCTGAAAGTCCTCCAGCCTCACCAGACCGATTGTCTGGTTCTTGAGAGTGTCCTCCATGGAGTCATGTTGGCCAACGAATTTGTTGGCTGAGGGACGGGATTTTTCTGTTTCGTTGATGAGAGTCTGTTTTTGGCGTTCATATTCTTCACGATTTTGAGCGCGCTGCTTGACGAAAGCATCTTCACGACGACCTTCCGCGTTGTTAGAAGACATGAAGGTTTTGGTTGTGTGACGTTGTGAGACACCAAGTTGAACCGCGGAGTATGAAATTACTCTTCAAGTTGTAAAGTCACAGTTCCGTTCATCTAAGCCATGGTTCACGTCTTGGGGGTGCAGCTCCCGGACTACCAATATGCGAGGGTACGCCAAGCTGATTGTTTCTAAAAGCTTTTGCTCACTGATAAGCTAGTTCGCTTTAACTGCATTCTACGGCATTGGCCATAAAACTGCACATCGACTTTGTGCACGTCTTCAAATTCACGACAAGTGCAAAGTCCGAAGTTTAACGCCCCATCAAATCACAGAACTTGCCGCGTTCCTTTCCTCTCCTTCTACTTCAACTCCTCTTCCCCGCTTGCCATTGGCAACGTCGTCCTACAAACCTCTACCGGCTTCAACTCCGCTCGCGGTCCTGAAGGAGGAGACGAAGAAGCTCTCGCAGAAGGCTTGGGCAGATCCCTTGAGGAATATCAAGATTGAGAGTGAAGCAAGGAGAGTAGTTAAGGATAATGTTGCGCACCAGCGTATGATTGGGAGTTATGTCGGCAAGAGGCATGCTATGGGTCTGCCCGTTCGCGGACAGAATACCCAAAACAACGCGCGGACTGCGAAGAAACTCAACAGGGTCGATCGTCGTGGTTGAGGGTTTTTACCGTCCAGTTATGTATGTGCTTATATCCTCGGAAGCCACTTACATCCCTCTCCGCGCATGTTCCGCATTCTCTTCCAGTCTCTTCTAAATAATACACTATTCCTTAGTACAATATGATGCAAGGCGGCTTGTTTGCAACCTCTAGTCATCTCCGACCGGCACTTCTTCCTCCAGGTACTTCAACAATGTCACCCGAATCTCCGTGCTCTCGTCCCCACGAAGTACATCAGACAAAAACTCCACCTGCACCTGCATCTGGACCTTTGAACGGGTGTGATACATAGCTGCGCCAATGATCTTACTTTGTGAACTTACCATCTCAAGTGCTCCTCTAAGAACACCACACAGCACGTTGCTGAACCATAAACCTCCTTCCAAAGCCTCGTCGGGGAGTTCAACAAATTCAGCCAATGGATTCTCATCCAGGGTCAGAATGAACGACGAGCCAGGAACTCCCGACTGTTGGGCCGCACTGCTTGGGCGGGAGGACGGAGGTGGGGCAGCAGAGTGTGTGACTGCTGGTGTGATATTTAGAAAGGATTTAAACCCGACCTTAAAATGAGGAGTCTCTAAGAACGTCAGTTCAGGGGGTAGTAATGAACGCACACCTTCGCCACCACCTCGCCTACTTCACGGAAGTCGGAACAACGACCTAAAGAACTCCTTGCAAGGAAGTCCTCGATTAAACGTGTCCCGATGTTATATCCCATTTTCTCAAGTTGCTTATTCACTTCAGCATAATCTTCATAGTCCTGGATCAACTGGACGACGAGGGCCCCATATGTAAGAGCAAATAGCTCTGAATTCTGTTTCGGGGGTCAGTTGGGGCCTGATTGACCCATATACGCGGCGCAAAGTTCAAACCTCACAATCTTCTCTGTACGACTTTTCCAAAGGTCCTCTCCGATGGCTTTGTATTGTTTGCTCGTCGTCGCCATCGTCGAGGAAAGTAAGACGAATGACTAGACTGCCAGATTGGGCTGAATCGAAGATTGAATCCACGTGCCTGTCAAGTTTCAACTCTAACTTCAAATCCACCTACTAGATCATCATCATCAGAGCAACCCAAGAAATATGTCACGGCCAGAATACCAGGCCCCGCCAGAGATTGTACAATTTATTTTTGTCGACTCACAGATAATGGGCGACTGATTTTTGGACTCATCTACAGTACTATGGCGATACTGAAGCCAAGAAATACACTCAAAAGTATGCTTGTTCGCATATGTATCCCCTTGCCGTTCTGAGTGCCATGCAAGCACCCGTAATCAACAGATCCAGGCAGATATGACCTACCGTGCTCTAGAGTTGCTCAATCTTCCCCCGGATGAGCCTGCCTTTCTGTTGGATATTGGATGCGGATCAGGGCTCTCAGGTGAGATTTTGGAGGAGGAGGGGTATGTTTGGACAGGCGTGGATATTGCGCCAAGTATGCTCGGTGAGTATCACGGTTTCAGCACAGGAAGCACTAGACGTGGGCTGATCACAACTAGAGGTCGCGCTGGAGAGGGATATTGACGGAGACCTTTTCTTGCAAGATATCGGTCAGGGATTTGGTTTCCGGCCAGGAAGCTTCGACGGAGCAATAAGGTCCGTGATTGGACTTCCTTTGCGTGATTTTATTTAAGAATCTACTAGTATATCTGTGTTGCAATGGCTTTTGAATGCTGAAACATCGCATCCAACGTCCTCACCACCACACCGTCTCACCCGTTTCTTCACGACTCTCCACTCCGCTCTCCGTAATCCCTCCCGAGCAGTCTTTCAATTTTACCCGACTTCCGATGACCAGATACAACTGATTACTTCAATAGCACAGAAGGCCGGCTTTGGAGGAGGTGTTGTCGTAGATTACCCAAATTCCAAGAAAGCGAGGAAGGTGTTCCTATGCTTGTTTGTCGGCGGCGGAGGCGCGCAGCAACAAATGCCTAAGGGCGTAGAGGGTGAAGACGATGAGCACGCAAGATTCGAGAGAAGAAGGGAGAAAGAAAGAAAGAGGGACGTAAGTGGGAAGAGAAAGAACATCAAAGACAAAGATTGGATCCTTAAGAAAAAAGAGGCAAGTCGGATGGAAATTGACTATGTCTGTCTGCTCACTTGTATCATTAGTTGTATCGTCAACGAGGAAAGGAAGGGGTACCAAGAGATTCAAAATACACTGGTCGCAAGCGCAAGGCAATTTTCTAGTGGAATTTCTCGCAGTATTTTCTGAATGCTGGACCTCCGTCGAGAAATCCCATATATACAAGTACCTACGCCCATTCATGTCCGTCTCTCTACGAATAGCTCGGGGAGGGTCCTGACTACATCCTGAACATTGTTCCTGATGAACAAGCCTTGGAGGGCAGCCATGCTAATTCTCCTTCCCTCACGTATCTCTTTGGCGGTTAATTCCTCTACCTGTTGACCCATGTGTTCTACAACCTCCTGATGGACAGACTCACTACCACCGTAGAAACGTGTAAAAAGCGTGCGTGCCTGCGTGGGCGACGCATCATCAACAAGCACGCTTAGGTCAACACGCCCCGGTCTGATAAGCGCAGAATCCAATTTTTCGATGTGATTTGTCGTCATAAAAATAATGCGTTCTTCTCCCGAGGCAACACCATCCAAAGCATTTAAAAAGCCAGAGAATGTGACAGAGGACTGATAACTATAGCATATGCTGTTAGTCATGCGTTCCGAGGTATCAGACTCATCAGCTCACCCATCCTCGCTTGTTTGCACGCGTTTATTAAATGCGGCGTCTACGTCTTCAATGAGGATAAAACTACGCTCTGGTGCATTTGATAACAGGTGATTGAGTTTATCATCGCCAAGTCCTCGTTCGGATAAATTGAGCAGACATATGTCATAAGATAAGGATCCTGCCAAGTGCTTGAATATACGAGGTCTTCCCTGAGCCAGGAGGGCCATGCAAGAGATATCCCCTTCGGTACGGAATGCCCCGGTCCGCATACCACTGTCGTCGTTGCAGGAATGCCTTGACATCCTGTTCCACTTTGTCACTTACACCCGTG